TCCCCCTGACCTTCACCCTGCTCCAGCGGGCACCTCGGAGCACGACAAGCTGTGCCGGGCCCGAGACCAGTGCCGGGACATCCTCAAGTATGTGAATGAAGCGGTGAAGCAGGCAGAAAACCGACATCGGCTGGAGGGCTACCAGAAACGCCTGGATGCCACCTCACTGGAGAGGACCAGCAACCCGCTGGCAGCTGAATTCAAGGTGATCCCAGCTCCTGGGGGCCGAGGGGGGGGGTTCCCAGTGCCAGCACATTCACTGCTGCCCTCTCCCTGCTACAGAGCCTGGACCTCACCTCTCGGCGCATGATCCACGAAGGGCCGCTCACCTGGCGTATCAGCAAGGACAAGACCGTGGGTATGGACCTCTGCTCGGGTCCTGCAGGATGTGGGCCAGCCTTGGTGGCATTCTGAGGACCCTGTGCCAGCTGAAAGCGTCGTGTCCTCAGGGCCATCCTTCTTGGGCTGTGAGCACAACCCTGAGCCTTTTCTCTCTGCTCTCCGCTCCAGATCTGCACGTGCTGCTCCTCGAGGACCTCCTGGTGCTGCTACAGAAACAAGATGAGAAGCTGGTGCTCAAGTGCCACGGCAAGACAGCTCTGGGCTCCTTGGACAACAAGCAGACCTTCAGCCCCGTCCTCAAGCTCAACTCAGTGCTCATCCGCTCTGTGGCCACAGGTAGTGAGGGGACAGCAGGACGCGGGGGGTGGCAGGGAACCTGTCCTCTGAGCGTGTTCTTTGCTGTACCCTGACCTTCTCCATTGCTCTGTCCCCTGTGCAGATAAACGAGCCTTCTTCATCATCTGCACGTCAGAGCTGGGACCCCAGATCTATGAGCTGGTGGCACTGACGTCCTCCGAGAAGAACACGTAAGGGCTAAAGGGGTGCTGGTGCCATGGGAAGTGTGTGGTGGGGAGGGGGCTCCCCAGTGTGACCCCCCCAGGAGCTGACGGTGCTCTGGGCCGGCCAGGTGGATGGAGGTGCTAGAGGAGGCGGTGCAGAGTGCCATGAGGAATGCCACCTTCCCCCCAAAGCGCCAGATGCCAGAGCCCACCCGCATGGCACCTTCAAGGTGAGCAGCGTGGCTTCACTGGGTGCTCCCAGCTGGAGCCTGGGTGGCACTGATGAGTGTCTCCAGCTGGTGGGGCTGGAGACATGAGTTCTCCCTGCTGCAGGAGCTACTTGCTGGAGACCCAGAGGCAGCTCCCAGGGCTCCTGGCCCCTTAGCAGTGCCATCCTCCAGTCTAACCCCTCTCCATCCTGCAGCCTGGTGTTGCAGGACCCTGATGTCTCCCCCATCCTGTCCCAAGTCAGTAGCTCTGCAGCAGAAGTGGAGGAGAGCTCCTCAGGTGATTCCCCGTGCTCAGTTATCCATCCGTCCCTGGGGTTGGGACACAACCCTGAGCTCTCCCCTCTCCCTGCAGCAGATGACAATCCCACGGAGCTGCTGGGCAGGGAGCAGCCTTCGGTGCTGCTGGAGGAGCCAGAAAGCAGCGAGGTGGAGGAGGAAGAGCTGCCTGCTGGATCCCTGCATACAGAGGTGTCTGATGCTCTCCCGGAGCCCTCCATGCGCCTGGCACTGCCAGTTCCCAGCCCGGCCGAGGGGTTGGCCGACGCAGCCCTGGAGGATGGTGAGTGGTGCTCAGAGGGATTGGAGAGGCCCACCTTGTGATGTCAAAAACTCCCCCAACCCTATTTTCCCCCCCCCGTCCCAGTGGGGAACCTGCGGCTGCTGATCCTGCGGCGGCTCCTGCCCAGTCGTGACACAGAGCCTGAGGATGACCTGACACCCACGCCGTCGGTCATCGGGGGTACCCACACCTGGGACTCAGTGCTCTCCAGCCAGGATTCAGCCTCCCAGGAGGTGCTGGCTGAGCCCCCCAGTGCTGCCGAGGAGCCAAAGCCCCGATTGGGGTGGGAGGAGCAGAGTGAAACGGGTCCAACAGTGTCTGCTGAGGAGCAGAGCAGCTACAAGGTGGTCCGGAAAGGTATGGAGAGCTGCCAGCCCCAAACCAGGCATGGATGGGGACACCTGGGGACTGTTCTTTTCTCTCCCCTCGCTGGGATTTGGGGTCTCTCTGCATGAGCTTTGGTGGATCAAAGCTGGGGTGCTGGTGGTGGGCTCTGATGGGTGCTGGTGATGGGATGCTAACTGATGCTGGGGTGCTGGTAGTTGGGTGCTAATGGTGGGGAGCTGATGGATACTGGTGCTGAAGTGCTAATTGGTGCTGGGATGCTGACTGATGCTGGGATGCTGACCGATGCTATGCTGGTATATGGGTGCTGGTGATGGGATGCTGATTGGTGCTGGTGGTGGGTGCTGGTGGCGGGGCCAGCTCACCCCCTCCCTCTCCCTCCCCCCTCTCTTTTTGGGGTGCACAGCCCCAGCGGAGGGTGCTCAGGAGGCCACGCCCTCGCCAGGCAGCAGCCAATCAGAAACTGAGCTGCAGGAAGGAGGCGGAGCTAATGTAGATGGTAAAGAGACCCCCATCCCTTCCTGGGGGGTGTCCTTGAGTCCCCAGAGCTGTGTTTCCCCATTATGCCCTCCTGTCCCTTGAAAGCAGCCATGTCCTCCAGGGGGACACGTGTCCCTGGGGGGTGCTGTATCCTTGGGGAGGGGTGGGAGGGGGTCATGTCTCCCCGAGGGCTGTCCCCACAGCTGAGGACACGGAGTGCCACCGCAGCCCTGATGCCCCCCACCACACTAACACTGCTCCTCCCCTCCCTTGCAGGTAATTACTTCTACGTTAGCATGCCCGCCGGGCCCCCTGAGCCTGCACCACCTCCAGGACCCCCCCAGGCCATCCAAGCTGAGGAACCCCCTCGGCCCAGCACTGCTGAGTGTCCCCCAGACCCACCTGGCCCCCTCCACGATGTCGACCTCATCTTCCGCACCATCGAGCAGCTGACGCTGAAACTCAACAGGCTGAAGGTGAGCCCCAGTCGAGGGGGAAACCTCAAACCTGTGCCCTCCCCAACCTGTCTTCATGCCCTTTCCCCTTGCTGCCTCCCCAGGCTGTGGAAGCTGCCCATCGGGAGCTGCTGCGGTCCCTGGGACACAGCTCATCTGCAGACACCACCCCTGTGGGGCTCCCGGCCCCTGGGATGGAGGGATGGACCCAGCGGCCCCACAGCCCCGAGGCTGACAGCCCCCTGACCCGCTCCCTGCGGAGCCTGCAGGGCCACAGCACCAACATCCCAGGTGAGTGGCTGCACCCCATCTGCTTTCCCTCGGGTTTCCATCTCCCCGTCCCCTTCACGGCCCCACTTTTTGCCATCCTCCTCACTTACCCTTCTTGCCCTGTTCTTTCTGTCCCCCTTCAGTATCTCCTCCCCATCCTCCTCACCCCTTTCTCCCACTTCCTAATCATCCCCTTCGAACGGTTGGGGTCGGGGAGAAGCCTTCATGCACCCCCTGACTCCAACTCCTCCCCCCTCACACCCCCCTTATCTCCTCTCCTCCAGGCTGCAGAGCCCCCTTGGCCGAAGACCCCGCGCACACAGCCGACCTTTAGCCACGGAGCGGGGTGGGGGGTCTCCCCCCCACAATCACTCAAAGCTGGGGAGCTGCCCACCAACCCCCCCAACCTCCTGTGGGCTGGGAGCAGTGCCAGCCTCACCCCGGGGGGGAGGGGGGGCTCCTCTTGGAAGGGGGGGGGGTGGGCCCCCGGGGCCCCCCCCCCCCCTCCCCCACCCTGCATGGCAGCCCCAGCCTGGCTCCCTGCACCCCTGGCCGCGAGCGCTGGATCTAGTCTGTATAAATGCACTTTGTTTCGTTCCTCTCCGTGCTGCGGCCCCCCGCTCCCCGCTGACTATAAATATGTACGTATGTGCACCCATCGTGTAAATAACCCCCCCTGTCCTCCCCCCCCCTGTGTCACCCCCATTGGGGACAGCGTTGTCCCCATGGCTGGGGCGAAGGGCAGCATCCGCCCATCCCACGCGTAGAGGCGAGGCCGGCGCTGGGGTGTCTGATATATATAATATATATAATAGAGCCAAGACTGACTGGTTGCTGTTTGATGCTGTATAATCTGTTTTATTTTCTTCCTTTCCACGGTAAAGAAGTTTATTGTTGTTGTTATTTTTTAAAAGAAAAGCCCAGAAATACGGCTGTTCTTCACCCGCAGGCACACGTGGGGCTCATGGATCCAGGCTGTGCTCCTCCTCCTGCCCCCCAGGCTGGGGTTTTGCTCCCTCCACCGCCGTGTGCTGGCAGCTGGGGAGGTGTCTCAGTTACCTGCTGAGCTGGAAGAAGCCACGGGGTCCCAAGGCTATGGATGCTACAGAGGTCCTTATGGGGTGGAGGGGAGAACTATTGAGGCTCCTAGGGAAGTCCCACAGGGGCTTAGGGTTCCTGCACCCCCCATGACAACGTGCGAGGTGGGGTCAATAATTATACAGGGGGACGAAGCGAGGAGCGGGACGGACCCGAAAGGGACGCGGTGTCACTCGGAAGGCGCGGTCAGGGCAGCGCTCACTCCGAACCGTTAGGGGTCGCTGCAGGTTCCGTCCGCGCCCTTTTTATAGGACTCCGGGGGGCTCACGGCAGCACCAATCGCTGAGCCGCTGCTGAAGCCCCATTGGTCCATTTCTGGGCCAATCACTGGCACAAGCCTTTGCCATTTCCAGCCAATCACCTCGCGCGCTTTGGATCCGCCTCTGGACGGCCGAAGGGCCGATCCTTGCCCTCCCCTCCCCTCCCCCCCCCCCCCAACGCGGTTTCTATGCCAACCTCCGGCCGTGCTGGGTTCTCCCCGCGTTCCTTCCTGGGATTCGCGCTGCTCCTATCAGCAGTTTCCCTTCCCTCCCCGCCCCCC